AACCCTAAAGCCTAAACCCGTAACCCCAAACCCCAAACCCTAAACCCTAAACCCCAAACCCTAAACCCCAAACCCTAAACCCGAAACCCTAAACCCTAGGCTCTTCTGTACGGTTTTCATGTCATCTGGGGTTCTTGGGGTCCCGGGTCTTGGGCATTGCTGAGCCTGGAGCCTTCTGAGTTCCCAAGGCAACATCCCCGAAAGGTTGGCCCAGATGTCAACCTTAGACCCAGAGAGCCCAAACAGACCCACCCTAAACCCTGAACCCTAAACCCCACACAGACCCACCCTAAACTCCAATCCCTAAACCCCTTAAACCCTAAACCCTAATCCCTTATAACCTTATAAACTTTAAACCCTACACCCCAAAACCCTGAACGGACCCAACTCTGCCCTCTGTTACAGGGCATCCTGCTGCGCAACGTGACGATCAGGCGCGGGCCGTTCTTCGGCGCATGGTGGGGGAGAACCAGTCTAAACCCGAAGCCGTTCCCACAGAACCCAAAGACCTCCATAATTATGGAATATTCCTTAAATCAGAATATTCAGAACCCTATAATTTAAGGCATATTCCTTATAGTTAAGGGTATTGGGTTCGCTGGGTTATCTTCGAACTCTTTCTGCAAAAGCCCGAAATCCTGAGTTAGATATTCAAATCTTCAGCTAGATATTCAATCCTAAATCCTAAGCTTCAACTCGATCGTAAATCCTGAGACTTAGTCTTCCACTTGCTCTTGCGCTCCATGCTTTCATCTGTGGTTCGATATGAGTTCCTACGTCCCAAACTTCCACTCAACGTGACGTCCTCAACCCCAAACTTCAGCTAGGGTTTAGGGTTTCGGGGAGCTGGACCTTGAACCCCTGAGGGTTCGAGGGATGTCAGTACTATAGGGGCCTATAGTATGTAGTTGTCAATACGATTTTGGGGGGATTCCCTATTCTAACCATAGGATGATGGGCCCCAAAAGCCCATTCCAATCATTAAGGCCCCTATACATTAAGCATAAGCCCTAAACCCTAAACGCCCTAAAGCCCCTAAAACCCCCAAACCCTAAAACCCTAAACCCTAAGCCCCTAAAGCCCTATTCTAAATATTGAGGCCCGTACATTAGTCTTTCCCGAAGGAACCCTGGATTCTGGTCGGTGCACCCTTGGAATTGCGAGCATGTGGCGGGCTCGGAGGGGCTTCAGCGTTTCAGGATTGAGGGTCGTTAGGCTTTAGGGCTTCCGGGGTGCAGGGGTTCAGGGTTTAGGAATTTTGCTTGGTGTTTCGGCCCCAAGACCCACTAAACCCTTCGTGGTTCGCACTAAGCCCTTTGGGGTTCTTTACGGGGGGACGACGATGCTTCGCTTGAAGATGTTTTGCTGATAAGCATGAGATCCTAAACAGCCCCCCCCGAAGCCTTCAAAACCCGACACTGCAGCCAAAAACCCCTGAGCCCAGAACCGCCTAAGCCCTGAAGACTTTGGGGCTTTGGGTTTCGGGTTTGGGGTTTAGGGACTCACCCTAAACCCTGCGCACCCTAAACCATGCTGGCGATACACTGCCAGTTCTTCGAAGCCCTCCACCTCTACCGGAAGACGCTGGGGATTTAGGATCCTGAACTGAAGGCCCTTGAAGACAAGGGGGTTGGCAGATTGCTATAGATCAGCCTTACGCAGAAGATCCCAAGTCTCCGTTCAAGGCAGAATCACATCCTAAGCCCCCAAACCCCTGACCCCTAAACCCCAAGCCCTAATCCCCAAACCCAAGCGCCTAAACCCGACCCTTTAAAAATCAACCCCTATGTAAACCCTTCCGGCTTTAGGAAAGGATCCCCCTAAACCCTAAACCCTAAAACCCTAAAGCCCTAAACCCTAAACCCCTAAACCACGAACCCCGAGCCAGCTTTGGAAGGTCACCGTCCAGCACCTCACCATCCTCGTTGAGCCGCTCTCCCCTCAGGAACTTACGGTTTAGGGTTTAGGCTGGAACTACCTCTTGGGCAATTTTTTTAGGGTTTGGGGTTTGGGGGGTTATCTTTTTAGTTAGGAACGAATAATGCAAATGTCTGAATACTTCGTAAGTGTATCGTTTTAGCGCTTTTCTGTTGTCATGAGAGAGTAATTAATTCCCGAAACCAAAGGCCCCGGCGTAGGTTAGGCTACTGGGTTTGCGGTGTTTCCGTGTGGATCTAAGTTTGGAGACTGTGAGGGTGCAGCAGCATTTAGAGCAGGATTGAGTGGGTTGTTGGCTTCCGAGGTCCCCAAGCCCATGTTGCAACACCCTGACCTGTGCCCACCCCCCCCCCCCGGTGCCCTACGCCCCAAGCCCTAAACTCTAAGCCCTGAAGCCTTAAATCCAAATCTTAAACCCCCTACGGTCGATGATAGAAGTCCTGCATTACCCCTAGTAAAGAATGTACCATAATTCCCATAGTTTAGGGTCCTTAACGTAATGCAGGATTTATATCATCAACCATAAGAAGCCCTCGGCCCCAACGTCAGATTCTGGACAGACCCGCAGCCTTGCGATGTCCAACGCCCCAAAGATCAACATGTCTCACACTGAAACTTATCTCTGACCCCCCCCATAGCTCGATCCCAAACCCCATTATAAGGGCCTTCATAATTACCTATACTATTTTGGGGGCCTTCTTATAAATAGATATACAGTAGAATACATCCCCAAAACCCTATTCTAATTATTTAGGCCCCTACATGATACACTTAGAACGAAACCCCGCCTACCCTATAGCCAAAGCAGGAAACCTTGAACCCCAGATCCGCAAGCCCCGACACCCTAAGGCCTAAACCCTGAAGCCTAAACCCTAGACCCTACGGTGGGACCCCATGATTCGGCCCACCAACACGGACGGCTGGAATCCGGATTCCAGTCGGCATGTGCTCATCGAGGACCTGGATCTTCTCGTTCAGAGTTCAATCCGTTTCGGGTTTAGGGTTTAGGGTGTAGGGGCTCATAGGGTTTAGGGACTTTAGGGTTTAGGGTTTAGGGACTTTGGGGTTTAGGGTTTAGGGTGTAGGGGTTTAGGGTTTAGGGACTTTGGGGTTTAGGGTTTAGTGTGTACGGGTTTAGGGTTTAGGGACTTTAGGGTTTAGGGTGCAGGGTGCAGGGGTTTAGGGTTTAGGTTCTAGTCCTTAGCCCAATCCTAAACCGTAAACCCCAGACACCCCTGGCAGGACTTTTTCCTTGTGTCGCAGCACGGAGAAGGCACACTACACTTAAATATAACACTTAAACCCGAAACCCTAAAACCTAAACCCATAAACCCTAAACCCTAAACATCCCAAACTCTCTAAACCTTGACACTGTAGATCTCCAAATCAGATTGGGGTCTTGTGTGGTTTAGGAGTTTAGGTTTAGGGTTGTGGGGTAACGCTTTGGGAGTTCAAAATTTAGGGTTTAATGGTGGCCTCGGATCTGTCCAAAAGGGTGGGTGGGTGGCTCGTTTTTTGGGGGCGAACTGGGATGTAGGTTCCGAGGCTGTGAGGTCGCCAAGTGGTGTGCGCCAAAGATCCTAAACAGACTTTGAAATAGAGAACGCCCATGCCCCAAGCCCTAAACCCTAAACTCTACATGTATTCGGGAAGATGAGTCTGGACCATTGCTTCCGCACTCTGCACGAGATCCCAGCGCGATAACATTAGACTGGCCACCAATGAACTCCGGCTGCCCGGACTTAAAGGGTTAATGTAGGGGCCTTGATAATTAGACCAGGGTCGGGGGGTACATTTTTATACTGTAATCATAGTAAGGATCCCCCCAAAACCCTATTCTAATGTTTAAGGCCCCGACATTCATTAAACACTTGTTGGGGTTCAGGTTGAGGGTTTTGGTCTAGGTCTGGTTCTTGGAGTTTCGTGGCCTGCCCCTGGCTGTGGAGGATAGCTACTTCCAGACCGGGGACGATGCGGTGGCCATCAAAAGTGGATGGGACTGCTTTGGGCGTGGGGACTCGGCGCTGGAGCGGCAGCTTCTGGAGCGGAGGGGCGCTTTGGGTCCTTCGGGTGGCGCAGGTGTAGGGGGTTTACGGGGATTTTAGGGTTTAGTATTTAGGGGATTTAGGGTTTAGGGTTGAAGATTTCCAAGAGCTTGAGCTGGCCTCGATCCCACATCGTCAGGAGCGTTGTTCGCAGCTTTCGGCGATGCCTTGTCCAGCCAGCAGCGATCGCAAATAACAACTCGGGACGGGTATGAGTAAGCACCACGGCATCACGGCAGGGATGCGAAGGACGACGACGACTTGTTGGTCACTAACTCACTATATAAGTATGACTCACCGGTTCCACCGTCAGCACTGCCACCAGCAGTGCCTCCACGACCACGACCAGACCACTTGTTTGAACTTACCTGTACTTGTAAGTCAGGATGGAGTTGATCCTCTGGGGCGACGTGGTTTGGGCATTTAGCAAAAGCCTCATCGGCTCGCGAGGGTGGAAAATGTAGCTGCCAGCCACTAGGGCGCCGGTAGAGAGGCTCATCATGTCATCGTGCTCACGGCATGTCGCACTTCTGTCCTTGGCCTTGGCAATGGTTTCTCAAAGCTACAGGTTTGTGGAGCTGCAAGAGATCTCCACAACAGGTGCTCGAAGTTGGACAGCCTTCTCCATGGATGGCATTCAGCACCTGGTGGTGGCCAATGAGCGTGATAGCAGTTCCAAGATCTACAAATCGAACGATGCCAGCAGCAACTTTCTGCAGATGCAGAGCGTTCCCACCAAAGGCGCTCGCGATTGGACAGCCTTCTCCATGAATTGCATTCAGCACCTAGTGGTGGCCAATGGGTGGAGTGGCAGCTCTTGGAATGTTGACTCTAAGGTTTACAAGTGGGACGATACCAGTAGCACCTTTTTGGAGATGCAGAGCATTCCCACCTCAGGCGCTCAAGGTTGGGCAGCCTTCTCCATAAATGGTATTCAGCACTTGGTGGTGGCTAATATTTATGATGGCTTCTCTCACAATATTGACTCTAAGGTTTACAGGTGGAACGATACCAGCAGCACCTTTTTGGAGATTCAGAGCATCCCTACCAAAGGCGCTTACGATTGGGCAGCCTTCTCCATAAATGGTATTCAGCACTTGGTGGTGGCTAATACTTATGATGGCTTCTCTCACAATATTGACTCTAAGGTTTACAGGTGGAACGATACCAGCAGCACCTTTTTGAAGATTCAGAGCATCCCTACCAAAGGCGCTCGCGATTGGACAGCCTTCTCCATGAATGGCATTCAGCACCTGGTGGTGGCCAATGAATATGATGGCAGTTCCTACAACATTGAATCCAAGATCTACGTATGGAACGATGCCAGCAGCATCTTTTTGGAGATGCAGAGCATTCCCACCTCAGGCGCTCAAGGTTGGACAGCCTTCTCCATGGATGGCATTCAGCACCTGGTGGTGGCCAATTGGTATGATGGCAGTTCCTACAACATTGAGTCCAAGATCTACAGATGGGACGATGCCAGCAGCACCTTTTTGGAGATGCAGAGCGTTCCCACCAAAGGCGCTCGCGATTGGACAGCCTTCTCCATGAATGGCATTCAGCACCTGGCTGTGTCCAATTGGTTCGATGACAGTGTTGATTCTTACACCACCTATTCCAAAGTCTACATTTGGGCGACCAGCACCACCACCACCTCCACGATCACTAGCACAGCCACCATGACCACTTCCACCACCGTGAGCAGCAGCATCACCGCCACTTCCACTACCACCACACGCACCGAGGCTCCCTCTGGCCTGGCAGCGACTGACTTGGCTTTTGAGGATGTAAGGTCCTGGTCATTGGCCGCCCTGGGCGGCTACCTGGTTGCTTTGTCGGTGCCCATCTTCATGGCCAAGATGTCCGGACAGGCCGGCTCGCGACCCCGGCAGTCCATCGAAGAACCCCAGACGGTCGGAAGTTCCGTTGAAGAAGGTCCAGACTATCTGGCTGAACCGGCAGGTTCAGTAGTGCACGCGGATGCAGCGTCAGCAGGCCCAGCAGTTCATGGAGTTGAAGCCAAACAGTCGGAAGGAACACCCCTAGCTCAAGAAGGGCAGGCTTCTACGCAGAAGCTCTCGCCAAATCTCAGACTTCCCGAAACATTTTCCGGGGCACGCCAGCTCATAAAGAAGTCTAAGTATTTCCTGGCGGTGAAGATGCTTCTGGAGTCCGGGAACCTGCTTTCATCGCACCCTGCCTTGCAAAAAAGGGGCAACTGTTGCACAGCGGGAACGCGGCCACAGCTGCCAGGAGTTTTAAGGTTGCAAATGTACAGACGCGGTTCCTGCGTCCTCTCGGTTTATTGTGGACCGGTATGATTGAATCCAGCCGAGGATGCTCTATGCGATGGAAGCGCATCAGCGCGCAATGCTGGTCGGCTTTTCCGCACAGTGTGGAGAAGGCACACTGACTCCTGACAACCCGAACCCCGGCCCCAACCTCTCAACTCTCAAACCTCCAGTGACCCTCAAGGCCCGTAGCCCCAAACCTGACAGACCCTGAACCCTATAAACCCTCAGCCATGTGGTGCAGGCATCCTGATGCCCGTGAAGAGCTGGGAGTGTAAGTCCAGGGCCGAGACAGCAGAGCTTCCAGCTTGTCATGCCTTGCTGGCCGCGAACGCCCTGTGCGAAGCAGATGCAGAGGCGAGGTTAAGGTTTAGGGTTTAGGGTTAATGCAAGTTCGAACGATACCTAGATCCTTAGATCTAGTACCTTTTTTTGGATGACCTATTTTAGGGTTAGGATCCTATAATAAGAAACGAAGGTAACCCAAAAACGTACTACATTGAAGGGTCTAGGTATCATGTTGAAGCGAGATTCAACACATATGAGGAAGGTGCGCGTAGATTAACCAGACTAAACATGATGCAGAGTGTCATTTGATGCTGTGCAAGGCGGACGACGGCAGCTGCGTCGTGCCACAGGAGTTGGACAACTGTGCCGATTTCGATGTGTACAAGATGGAGCCGTTGGCCTGTGGAGCGATCGGATGCAAAGCCCTACGCCACATTCTCTGGATAGCCGCTGTGATGTCGTTCGGTGCAACCTTTGCATGGAACGCCAGATTCTATGCTAGCAGCCTTCGAAGACTACAGCCAGACGAGGGCCAGCGGCTGCGTATCAGTTTCAAAGCGCTGTTTGCCTTCCTTGCCTCCTTGCTGGTGACCACCACCCTCGTTGGATTTGCTGGTGGCAGTGCGGCAGTCTTGGCAATGGCCTTGCTGTGCCCTCTGCTGCCGGTGTGTGCCTGGGTGCTGGCCGCATGGCTGGCTTCCCTTCCGGCGAAAGGCAAAGAGGCCAGGCGAAAGCTCTGTTGAGAATAGACTACATGGCTTCGAGGTCCTAAACCCTAAACCTTTTAACCCTGAACCCTAAACCTTATAACTAAAACCCTAAACCTTATGACTTGAACCCTAAACCCTATAACCCTAAGCCGCAGTGCGGACCTTCTGATGTTTTGGGGCCTTGTCCCGGTGTCCCATACGCAGGCGATCGTGAATCAAGCGGCAGCTCTGGAGCTTCCAGTATTCAATGTGTTCGTCGCTCTGAATTTGAGGCCAATATATCTGGTTAGCATTATATAGTTAACTGTATGTGTGTATATATGCATATATATATATATATGTATATATATATATATGTATATATATATACATATAGGTACATATGGGTTAAGATTGTGTGTATGTCTATATATATATACACACATATAATTAGAGGTGTATATTGGTTAGGCTCCCTAAACCCTAAACCCTCTGTGTAATCACTCTCTGCCTTATCTTCTGTGGGCAAGTTGCAGATAAGCAGGGTTCATGTCGGGGCAACACTACTGACCATAACCTTTGGGGCCTTTCATCTGTGAAGCATTCCAGCCTTGACACGGTTTAGGGTTTAGGGTGTCGAGTTTAGGGTTTGCAGGTCAGAGAAGGACGTCGAAGCTCTCAATGATTTCCGCGTGCCTCTTAACATGGGGCTCAGAGTCTTAGTTCTTGAATACTCAATTTTATTCTTTTTTTGGTTCTTATAACTTAGTAGTATTCTGAAAGTTTAACCTTTAGTTTCCCTGGCTTCTTGGGGAAGTAAGGAGTCGTGGAAGACATTCCAGAGCTCATCATTGGCCTCGTTGACTTGGTCTCTCAGCTTCTCAAAGCCCGGAGCCGTTCCCTAAGCTTCGATTCAAAGGGCTTTTCAATGGGAGCTCAACACTCGGGTCCAAAGATGTACATCTGCAGACGCTCTTCCGTCTTGTTTTTTGTTTTTCAGTTTCCCTTAATTAAACCCTACACTCTGCACCCTCTACCCCGCACCCTGAACAACCCACCGGAGCCCTGTAATATGCCCGAACCCTGCAACCTTTTCAGTATTCAGAGGGTGTTTGCCGAGCGCCGAGGTCTACTTCGGTGGATCCTGGCAACTTGCGGCAGGTTTATGGTTTACATGTTTACAGGGGTTTTATGCTTCATAGGGCCTTGATTTGGCTTCTAGGGTCTTATCGGGATTATAGGGTTTGTAGTTATGTGGCATAGACCTTTAGGGTCTATGTGAGTATTCTCTGGGGGTCGTACTACGTAGTATCACTGCTGTACTAGTAGTACTAGTACTAGCTTGATTTTCCATGGAGATGGTTGAAATCCCAGCCTTCGGGAAAAGCCAGTTGAAATTGTTAAGGTTTAACTTTTGGAACCATTTCAACCATTTTGAAATAGTTGAAATGGCTAAAGTCTAACCATTTCCACCATTTTAAGCACTTTGGGCTTCCCCGGGAGCACCGGGGCACAGATTTTCGCCATTTGAACCATTTCAACCATTTTAAATGCTTTGGGCTTCCCCGAGAGCCGCGGAGTAAAACAATGAACCATTCTAGGGGTTCCGGGGAGAGAGTTTAGGGAGTTTGGGTGACCACCGCAACCC